GCAAACGCTTGTGTTGGGCTATCAACCTCTGATCAATGCTTTACAATAGATTCAGGCAAATTTTGAAGCTCAATGCTTTTCAAGATATTTGTTTCTTGTATTCTTTTATTTCGTTTTGTCTTCACGTCTCGTATCATCCATTTTTTCAATCGCACCAACACCCAGTACATATCAATGCTCGGTATTATCATCAGCAATTATCTCTCATGGAAAAATCATGTCCGATCTATCGCAAAAGCTGCTTCACAAAAATTCGGATTCTTGTTCTATGCGAAAATGTACTTTACACTTAAATAGCTTCTCATGATCTACGTAGCACAGATACGGCCAGTTCTATAAGACTGTTCTTCTTTATGGGGTTCAGCACTCAAACATACGTCCGCTGCATGCTCTTAGATACCATCCAGAAATGAGCCATTCACCTCGTGGGTGATGCCACCGTAGGAAAGTCGGCGACCTTCCACTTTTCCATATAGATACTTCCACGAGGAATGTTCCGCAAAAATCTTTGCTATAATTCCATCAGTATCAACACAGTCAGACGAACTCGACAGACCCAGTCAGCACATCCTTTGATAGTTCACCTTGAAATATGTCGAACAACACTATACCAGAACTGTGAAGCTTTGGAATTCTTTGCCCATGGAATTATTCCCAAGAACTTATAACCTTCATGAATTGAATTTAAATCCAGCGCACCTACCTTGTTTCCCTATCGTCGCTAGGTACGCACGATGTTTCACGAACATTATAGGAATTTCCTTTCATGCGCTTCAAGAGATACAAAAAAGATCGTCCTGCTCATTAGGCTATATCATTTGCTTATAAGACTGTATAAGCAAGATCAGCTTGCTTATTAGGCTAGATCATCAGACAGAGTAGCCAAGAGCGGTTCAAGAACGATACCCATTGGACCAGAACCGATATTGGGAATACCCAATAGTACGTCTATGTCCTTCATGAAGGAAATGCTACAGAGGCAGTTCCTTGAAACATGGCGGGACACACCAGGAATGAGACAATCAAAGCTCTTTATAAAGGAACCCTCAGAAAGGCTCACGAGAGAGATCCTGTCACCTAATAGGAGGTATCTCAAGATGATAGTTGGGCTCTTAACTGGGCACAACCACCTCAACAGGCACCTAGAACTCATAGGGATCAGAGATGATCCCACCTGCAGATGGTGCTTGGAGGATGATGAAATATCATCACACATGCTCACTGAATGCCCCGCGCTGGTGCATCAGAGGCTGCCTTTGGGAGCATTGTACTGCACCCAAAGGATGTGAAATCGACTCAGCTGAGGAAGCTGCTGAATTTCGTCAAAGAAATCGGCATGCCCAATTGATTTACAGGACAAGTGGGCGCACAATGGGCCCGACTGAAGAGGCCTGAGTGCAGGGGTCTACGCACCCGCCTACCTGAGCAGAGAAGAAGTAGAACGAGAAGAAGGCTAGATCATGATCTACTACCTTGGTAATGAAAGCACACCTCACGCCTCAAAGAGGAGTAAATAATAAAAGGTTCTATAGCTAGTGGTGGAAAATAGTTATTCATACACCAAGGTAGTAATTATATCTCAAGGCCTCAGCCTAGGGGTTTGAGGTCCCGTGGTGATAATATTCTTGCTACCAAGGTTTGAATTATACTAATTGCCCTAACAAGCGGAGTTCGAGCAAGCAGTCGAGTGCGGGAAAGACACTTTCCGCATGAGTTAGGAACATTATCTTTTCTACAAGCGTAGGAAATTGATTGATTTGTTCAATCAATTATTCCTGCAAATAGGAGCAAATAACAATAGTGATATATTCTCTATCTTCTAATGATAATTGATATATCTATTGTGTGTATCGTTTGAAGCATTATGTAGGTAAGCTTATTGCGGAAGCGAGCATGCCCATGGTGTTTGGCCTCTAGGTTTCAGACATTTCTAGGAAATAGGCCAAAGATACTTCTTCTTTATTATTTGGTGTTTTCACTTTTTAACTATTGCTCCACTCAATAAATCCCGTGTAGTGCTTCTCATACCTTTTATAAGACTTCGTTGGCAATAACTCATCTGTATCGCATCTGTATAGCTGGAAGTTTTTCATCGCTATTCCACTGAATCGAAAATGACAGTAACGATCTGTGAATGTTCGTGAATGCTGATGTTCAGAAAATAAAGTTTAATGAGCCACCTCGTATCATTGGGTTGATTTAGGCAATTGATTATAATTTTTGAAGACACAAAAAAATATCGAAAAACTACTGTTTTTTCCATCACCCTCTGATTCTAGATTTTCACTGTTAAGGTCAGATTTTTCATTAATATCCTAAGTAATACCTGGATGAGATGAAGAATTTTCAGCTCCTTGCTATGACTAGTTTTTCATATATATTGAACATAATGAAAGTGATTACCTACTCAGATTAAATACCTACTGCTTCGAAACGAAAATATTACTTGTAGAAAATATGACTGTTACTGAGATATTTCCATTGGAGACTTGGAGGAATAACAAAATATACAGTCCGCTTCACCATGGATCATTATATACTCATTATATACTTCCAGGACTCGCCTACAGCTCGTCCTAGAATTTTGTCTACTCGTCCAAAAAAACAGTATTTTCCGGACTTGTTACGTAAATTACTATTTACATACGTAGTGTCAGATTTATCAGCACTTCAAGTGCTCAAATATGCACCCAGTAATTAATTTTTATCACGAGGAAATGGAATATGAAAGAAAATGAGACGAGGCTTAAAGTCGTTCGGCAGTTATGGAAGATCCAGGCGCTCCTAATGTAATTTTGAACTTAATAACTAAAGAGAAATTGCATAACACTGAGCGCGAATAATTTGTGATGAAAAGAAATTCCGAAGTCATTTTGAAAGTTGAATTACGCCGTGGAATGGCATTTGCCAGTCTTCCACAGTTTCGAGCTCATTTCCACGTCTCTGAATAAAATATGATAAATGCGTTAATTTCAGCCTGAGAAATAAGGGTATACCTATATTGAATGCTCCACAAAATATCATCCCGACAGAATATTTATGGTATTTCCAAATTCGGATCGATAAATGGAAATGGTATTAGATGACGAGAAAACAAATTTATCCAAAATTATATTTTTGAAGGAAGCAAGGTTACTCTGGAAGATATTGAATTCTGAAGTTTGACTGGAATTTTTGGGAATCATTGATCAGAAGCAAAAAGTCGAACCCGAGCGATTGCTTCTGGCGAGGTCAGAAGCACCAGGAGTCGTTTGGAAGTTATGTGAAATAGTTAAGTACTGAAGGGTAATTCTTGCTACCTGTTGTTTGATTAACCGTTTCCTCGTAGAAATGAAGCATATTTCCGCAGTGAAAAGTATTCTATGTTCATTGTTGCCTTTCAATATGGTGAACGAATTTTCCAAATCAGTCCTGTAGTTTTGAAGTATATTCGATACAAACAAACAAGCCCTGGCAAATGCCGAATATTGTGATACTTGCAGACCATTGCTAAAAAAACTGAACATTATGACCCTCCCATCTTTGTTTATTTCAAGTACTTTACTTGAGATCCATAAAAATTTACCGAACTTAATTATTCAATCTGATATTCAAGAGCATGATACGAGAGGATCACATAAAATCAGAGTACCTAGGATATAGACTCACAAAGTCCATGGATAATTCATTGAATTATCATCTTCACAATATTTTATCTGAATCATTGAAAAAGTTGACCATGTACTGCTCCAAGAAAGATATAACATCATTTATGTTGCACCATTCTCTCTACTCCGTAAAGGAATATCAGAAATGTGTTGAAGAAGGTGGTTTGACTTCTCACTCTCACTGAACTCAAATATTTTTAATGTGTTAACTATTTTGATTTGTTTTCATTTGTACTTACTCTTCCATAATAATTACTGTGTGCATTGTGATTTTGAGTGTTCTAAATGAAGGCATCGTAGATAGACACAATTTCAACACTCGAACACATTTTTATTTATTCAGGACGATTAAAAAATACAACACGACAAGTGATTCATTCTGATGCTACGATGCTAATGACTCAACCTGCTTCAATCTTCGATCACACGATGCGATTACGAATATCGATGAGTTGTCAAGGTCGCTTGTGAAAAGGCATTCCTCAGGCGTTCTTCTCAATCACGGGGTGATTTGAACATCGTTGCTAAAAATATATATATTTTTTTCAATTGACTCGACCGTTACTTGATATAAATCCATGGCAGATTGAAAAACTTCACAAGTGATAAGATTTCCACGGAATTCTCAAACACACGACATGTTTCGCTAACACAGTAGCTTCATCAGGTGATATACTGGTACAATGAAATAGACTAACCTTGGCTTGCTCAACTTCAATATATTCTACTTTCCCAACCTGAAGGACTAGTTACCTGTGGACAGGTTCGATAGACCTTCATATTCGGAAATTAGGCACAATATTTACATTGAAATACGGTGTACGGATTAACTTGAAAGGGTTGATAGCAAATACATAAATCTACTGAGAAAACAAATTCAACAATGGTGAACTATTGAGGTCCAATTGATCGTAAAGTGAAATGTAAGAATTTTATGAGTTTGTTGATCTCAAATGTTTCATTCCTTTATTTTCTAGGTGTAGAATTTCGAAATGAACATCAAAACTATGGTTGGCGTATGTTGAATTTGTTTTCTTTTTCAAAAAATTCATCTTATGTTCATGAATGCGCTGATTAGACGTAAGACCTGTCTGGCCGATATATACTTCAGGACAAATATTACAGAAATGGTCAGTCTCAAGTATAAGCTGAGCCGAGAAAATATCCCTAATAGTACGTATAGTAATATTCTGGGCCTTCGTTAAATGTTGCCATATTTACCCATTTATGACGAGATCCTGGAATCGTCGGATGTGGAGACACTGTCATACGGCCTTGACCCCGTCTAATGAATGAACTCGCTATTGCAGATAACACCATCCAACTAATCATATCGAACCCTCTAGAACTTACCTTTCTTGCTGGCATGAAAGCTGTCATCCCGCGGCACGTACTGGATATCATACACAAGGGATGTGTGGGGCAAAAGCGTTTTATCCCTGTTTATTTTGTACACGGCGTATTTGAAAGCTAGTTCTGTGGCGCTGTCTTTCTGGTCGTCTGTGAATATGGCACCTGAAACAAGAAAATAGAGTATTAAAGATATGATGTGGCAAGTTTCTTGTTAGTTTATGATGGGCATGAAGATATTTTGACGTCATTCAGTCTTGAATCATGATACACATTTCAATGTAGATTCTGATTTTAGGAATAAATGAGATTTGACATTGTTAGACTTTGTCTGATGATCAGCAAACGCAAAATTGCTAAAGATAAAAGAAATACTGTTTCAGTACCAAGAAATAGTGAACTGGTGATAGAATCAATAGACAGCTAACAAGGAGAAGCGCAGTAGTTTCAATCGGCTACAGGGAAGACCAAGTTTATTGATACATTGAAAAGAAGAGTCTGCTGGTTTAGCTTGGAAACTTCGAAAATGCCTTATGAATGCTAATAGTGGAGTAAAACTAGAGACAAAATTATTCTGATTGATTTAGCCACATGTTCCGTAAGCATCAATGAATTCATCTGAATTTCCAAAAGGATAGAAATAATCCAGCAATGAAACATGAATTTTTGGCAGATCCATGTGGCAAATTATGAAGTAATCCTATCAGGAAACTTTTGCGGTATATCCCAAACCCAAATTATCGCTGATCGAAATACCATAATCCTTTGTGAACCAATTAAATTAGGCTGATTCCATCCTGGAAAAGTTCGGAAGGATAATGCTTTTATAATGGGATGAAGCTATCTGGAGGGCGACTGAAAAATCGAAAAATAATGAACATAATTAAGCATCTGGAGGAATGAAATCGAAAACGAAATTGACATATTTATTCTTTATGAAAGTCAATAGCTACTCAGTATTGAACTATCATCAGTGAATATAATTCATTTACGGAATCAGAAATATCAATTGAAAATGTAAGACTTTTTCAGTTGATGAAACGAAATAGGTTGAAGTTCTATAATTGGGATTATTATCTTGGTGGTATAGGATACACTTCTTGAATACCTTATCATTTCCTTACTATAATTATGTGGTCTTTATCGCAGGAGAATTCTGCTCTCGTCTCAAGTAAATTATCTCACAATTCTTATGACATTTTTTATCTATCCAGAATAGTCCTGAAGCTATGAAGAATAACAATAATAAAATCGAACGCTTCACTTCAAATTGTGCTTGGAGCTATAATCGACATACTTCATTGATTGATTGATTGATTGATTGATTGATTGATTGGTTGATTTATAACAAAATGACCAGTCAGGTTTCGAAGCCCGAAACACTGCAGCCTCTGGGCCTTCCTTATTCCTGATCATGCTGTTGACTCAGTTGAACTGGTTCTCTAGCTGGATGAGGTTTAGCAGCTTCTTCACCAAATCTCTCGTTTGAAGAAACACCTGATATGAGTTTAGAGCTCCCAGAAGGTTGTATGTCCAATGTGCTAGTGTATATGATGGGTTCGTCTGTATAGATGCCTATTTGTTGCATATGCTTCCTCAAGGGGCAGTGACCGGTAATTAGTCCCGTCACTTGTCTGATCTGACTTCTGTTTAGGCTTATAATGTCGTTAGTCACTGTTTTGGACAGTGTTCCAACCATCAGTTTGCTTTGTCTCTGTCCTGGAAAGTTGTTTCAGTATGCCTGATGTCTTTCTTGCGTCCACCATTCCAGTCAGCCGCGTACTTTATAGTTAAGAGTTAAGAGTTCAATAAATACAGTGTGTCCCAAGTTCGATCCTCACCATTGGTATCTCAGTAACTATGAGAGATAGAGAAACGCTTAAATTATCAAAGTTGCAACAAATTCAGTGTTGAATCACTTCAGTCATTCTTGAGTTATTTGGGATAAAATGAAATCTTGTATTTTTGTTTCTCCCGAATATCTCGGAAACTATTGATTTCATGGAAAAATGATTTCAAAATTCTCATAGCACTTTTTGTGTTCTTTTCAATGGTTTTGTCAGTTTTTCATCTAAATGTGAAATTTCTGAGATATCACCTACAACTTTATTTTTTCTCATAGACGCCATATTGGATTTTTACAAATTTGAAATCAGCATAAAGTTTCCTCTCTAATTATGTATCACAGTCACAGTTTTATTTTATGAGGAGAACTCATTTCCAATTTTTGTTTTCATGTCCAGTAGGCTATGCGCTAAACTCTCTATGAATAATAACAATTATGTGTTCTGGCACAACTTTCATAGAGTAGGCTTGGAGCCAAGTGACATTTCTGTAAACGTCAAGAGAAAATACGAGTCAATTATTTCGGGGCAAACAATGCCGTTCACAAAAACCAGTAACAGTACAAGGGTTAAGACCTGGTGATAATGAACGTCGATTCGAGTTTTGTCACTGGTTCGTCAACTAGAGTGAAAGAATCGATATCGATTGGGCCTGTTAGATGGCCTCCAAGATCGTCTGATTGTACGCCTCTCGATTTTTATCCGTGGGGCTACGCCAGAAATAAAATTTATGAAGAGCCAATTCAAGATATTGATGATCTACGAGAGAGCGATGGACACATTCCAGCACATCAACAGAGTTCATCTGAGAAAAGCAGCGAATCATGTTCGCTCATGAATATTGAAATGTATCGAGAACAATAGGGGCCATTTCGAGCAGTTCAATTTTTTTTTCTGTATTTGTATTATCCACCTCTTAAGTTATGCGGGAACATAGAACACAGATTCCATAATCTAATGAGGTAAAAGTCATGGTGGAGTGAGGTAGTAACCAATAACACAACATAATGAATTGTCATGGAGATAACTTCGAGTATTATTTATTAGTTACAGAATTCATAGCCTAATTGACATAAAAACAAAAATTGGAAATCAGTACCTCAAATAAAATGAAACTGTGATTGTGAAATATCACTAGAAAGGAAATTTTATGCTGATTTCAGGTCTGTTGAAATCCAATATGGCGTCCATAAGAAAAATTGAAGTTGTTGGTGATATCTCACGAATTTGACATTTTGATGGAAAACTGACAAAACCATTGAAAAGAAAATTGAAAGGTGCTATGAGAATGTTAAACTTATTTTTTCATAAAATCAATAGTTTCCGAGATATTCGAACAAAACAAAAATACGAGATTTCAGTTCATTCTCATTCATTATCTCCGATAATAACTAAAGCTAGCTCAGATTTCTCAATAGATTATGATTCAACTTTAAATTTTCTACAACTTTGCCAACTTAACCGTTTCGTTATCTCTCATAGTTATTGAGATCCCAATGGTGAGAATCGAATTTGGGACACACTGTAGAGTGTGTTTCACTATATATAATTTTTTATCAGTGTAGGTTATCTATTTGAAGTAATCTATTTGAAGCAATCGAAAGAATTGTCGTTAATGAGGGAGGATAATGAGACATTCACGTTGCATTCGAAGAATGAAGTATTTTTATTATAATTTCATTTTGATGAACTTTCTTCATTATTTGATGATCTCAATTGTGTTTGAACAATAACTATTTGTCATGGGGGAGGACACAACCCCAATTACTTCTTTCTGTATACGTGCCTATCCGTATTCCCATCAGATGGTTCAATTGACAAGTAGCCGATTGGTTATTATTCACTTGAATGAATTGTATAATATGTCACCAGCAGATACTGTTTCTTGATTGAAGTGTATTCAATGATTGAAGAACTGTTCATCTAGCTATCTTTTATGGAATTCAGTCAAGCCTTTTGTATCCACAGATGGGCATTCAAGAAATATATACGATTGTAGTGTATTATCAAAATTGTGGATGCGCGTGGATTATTCATTTTGATGGAAACATTCATGTTTATTTAGAAATATCATATCCAGTTAACTCAATAGGAAAGTATAGATAGCCGTCGATGAAATTCGAAGCTCACTGTCTCCATGCTCAAATTGTTTTTGAATTAGAAGATATTTTCGTGGACCTTATATGATCAAGTAATTATCCGAAAACCTTATAAAAAGAAGGTTAATTTGAGCCGTGTCAGGTTAGATTGTTTAGGGAAATTAGTCTCCTTTATCATTCTCTCTAGTACCTAATTATCCAATAAAATACACTTTTCAAGCAGTAGAGTCATTTAGACCAAGGTAGGTTAGATGGTTTAAAAAAAGTAGTCTCTTTGAGAAAATAACCGCAATATTTCAGTCAATTTTCCGAAAAATATATACTTTTCAGGAATTATATCCATTTGGTCAGAGTGAATTGAAGTCGTTTTCTTCCTGCAGGAACAATATTTTCCTTAAATACTGTCTGTAGGTTAATCGAGGAGGTGGTAGGTACATTCATTATTCCAAATTTTTTGGGATAGAAGCGAGGAGAGAAAATCCCAAAAAATTTGGAATAATGAATATTTTCCTTCCTCATTTTTTATATATTATCTTATTCTACGTCTCCCCCACCTCGTGTCAATATTTGATGCGTCCTGTCTCTAGTCGCTAGTATCGTGGTGTATTATTTCTCAGTCGTCCATGTTTGTTTGTTAACACTGATGATGGAAGTATTGAGTTTCAAGTGTTTAGATCAACTAAAAAAAATGCCCTGATCAATAACTGATTTTTTGCATAATAAATCGATTAAATTCAGTTGGCCGTGTAATTTATTGATGAGACAATTGAGAACTCGGAAATGTAGATCGCATTGAATTGATGATTATCAAAATCATCTGCAAGTGCGAATGCCTCAATATTTGTCATGCCATATGCAGCACCTTTATGATTCATACTGGAGACTTTTTTTCGATTGCTTCTATTTGGTGGACAAACTATGAATCATACCTCGAACAATCAATTATTCTAATCGTTCATCTAACTCAGTTCAATATTTTCAACTTCTCAATTTTACATGGAGTACCGCCATACAAATCAGCTGCTCAATATTTTTTTCATAAGGAAGTGAATTACCAGCAAACACATCAAAAGTATTTTACAATGACGCCATAAATGCATCGCAGTCACATGAGATATAATATTCTTCAGCAGATGTAGTGGAAAGCTGAAATGCCAGCCTCATGACTCAATCGAATTGACAGGAAGAGTATAAGATCCCTAATGATGCCGAAACGATCGAAAACACATGCTTCAGTATGGCAAGAAAATATAGTTTCTGGACATTTTCCTTCGACATCGTTCGTGTGAGTCACATCATTAAATTATTGAATTATCTTTGTCATGAAGAAGTGTGACCGAACGTTATTTTCAACTACACATTTTCCAATTCCACTTTGAACAACATCTGATGTATTTCGAATTAGTCATTTCAATTCAAAATGTCTAATTTCGAAATTTCCACTTCCACTTCAGAATACGTTGAATGTATTTTAAATTTGTTATGTTAGGTTTCTCAAGGAACTTTATTCGAGTTTGAAATTAATCAGTTCAATTTCAACAATTATTCAATTATTTCCATATCGACATGATTCTACTCACAAAATATTCTGAATATATCACGAATTGCAGTAGAATTTTTCCATCACAACCTATAGAACCTACCATTATTCACCCCTTTTGAAGGCGTGAAGTGTGTTTTTACTACCAAGGTTGATTTCGTCATTTTATTAACTACTAGTGAATAAAAACTTCTGTTATAATGAACCCGAATTAACTGTTTTCATGCGATGTTCACAGAAATGGCTATCGAATCTAGTAGGTATTTATCCGTATTTATTAATAACGACTTGTCATATGCTGTCATGGTGCCTAGATTTTAATTGGAATTGAAAAGAAGTTTCACAGAACTATAATGATTGAAATATATTGCCTGTGGTGGAAAAGCCTCGGGATATCGTCTTGGTCCCTGGGTAATAATGGCTGAACTCACTATTTTGAGAACAATTCTCCGTTTTCATGATAACATTTTCTTCAATGGTGAGTACCTCATATCAATAGCTATCGTAGATTAAGATTAACAAGGTGTTTTGAAAAGTGGTTAAACTCATTATTTCGTGAGAAATTCTCTGTTATCATGAAATGATTTTCTGAGCATTTTGGAAAGAGTTTTGAAAAATGCACATTCTCAAATTTCATTTTTTTAAAAAGCAGCCTCTTGCAAGTGTCTATGATGCTCGACTCACCTAGAGTGAGTGCCTCGAACCAAACATCTCATTATTTGCGGGAAAGGGCGGAAAATGAAAGTTCGAGTCTTCGAGGTACTCTACACTCACCTATCTTGACTGTGGGCGGCAGGGCAAGGGCCGCCGCAAGCAGCCCTAAGACCCCGAGGGCGGCCCTCCAGCTGCCCTCTGGCCACATGACTCATGGCTCCACCCACGCCATTTTATAGGTGCGTGAGGGAACAGGTCGGGACTGGCGACTCGAGCTCGGGGAAGTGTCTGTCTTCGGCTAGCCGGGTCGTCTTGAAAACTGAAAAAACGAGGAAAGAGGTCAGTATAGGGTGACGGTTTGTCGGTTTTCAACAGTAATTACACAAGTGGTGGTGTGGTGATTTTCTGATGATTTCAATTATATGTGAGATTTGTCAATAGCAACAAAGACGAGTGCCTATCTACAGTTCTCAACACACTAAATGGACCACTCATAATTTGACTCTATTTCGGAGACTGTATTTTTTTAAGAAATTGACCGATCTTCATGTGGTTTTCGATATCAGATGAGATGTTTCATCGTCTCCAAAGAGAGCTAGAACACTCCGAAAAAGTCCGCAGAACAAAACGTACACAGGGTGTGAAGTGGAACCATTACACTATGGTCTACATTTCCAATGCTACCAGAACTTGAGAAATTTTTTTCTGATCAAAAGTCAGTCATATTATGATACACTGGGACCTCATCTCAAGACTTTTTTGTCATTTCTCCTCAAGTGGCCATTGGAAGAAAGATTGAATTTTTTTCGAAATCCTTGCATTTCTTGAATTTTTTTTCTAGAACTCCACTTGAGCTGACTATTGGGGAGAACTGTTCTCATGTTTTGTGGAGGACAATGAGAGACGGAATAAGCACTATTGTGTGATAAACAGGATGATAAGAAAATAGGACAAAATCTCATTTCAGTAAAAATATATAAAATGGCGACTAATACCATGGCCCATTCGATTCAGTATATTCAGAAACGGCCTTCTTGATATCCATTATTCATTATAGACTATCAACTCGAGACGTTTTCGATAATTCGCCTCTAATTGAGATACAGGATGAAAATTTTCAATTCAAACTTGTTTCCTGATATCGATGATTATTATCAACTGATTTTCAATATTTATTTATTTATTGACACAACAGCAGCAGCAATAAGTTGATTGGACCTAACTTGTTTGTATAAAAAGATGTACCGTTTGTCCGTGTGACGAGTTCAGAGTTTTCATAAATAAACACATTTTCGTTCGCAGTTCAAAAATGAGTATGACTCAAGGTTGGTAGAACTGATGATTATTTTGTAGAGGAAGGTTGCCTCGATCGCACCCCGCGAGTAATTCATGACAAATTATAATCAGTTCTACCAACCTTGGTATAACTCTTTTTTCAGTAATCGGAAAAAACCGAAAGAAATTGTAGAAGGTTTGAAACCACCTGAATTTTTTTCAGAACATTCTTAGGAGTGGTAAAATGGGTTCTTAATCATCAACGAGATGACTGGTTATTCAACTTCATTTTGTTACTTTTGTGAATGTTCCGTATTGCGCATAGTTCGGAAGGAAATAACACTTTTCTCAAATGAGTAATGCTAACAGATATTCCTAGGAAAATGAATAAAATTGTGATATATGATTTAGTTGACAGTGGAAACAATAAATTGCCATTTGTATTGATGGAGGCAGGCGTCATATTGCACATTTATTCGAAAAAATGTTTTATTTTCGTTTTTTCTGTCAACTTGATTTTGTATTATCATAATATAAAACTGTTACTGGGAATATCTGTTAGCATCATTCAAGAAAACATTTTTTTCCTTCGAAACTATAGAGAATACAGAATCATCACATGAGAAACAAATCATCTTGCTGAAAAGGATTTACAACTTTTTACCACCCATAAAAATATTCTGAAGAAATGATCTGGGGGTGAGGGTGGTTTCAAACCTTCTACAATATCTTTCGGAATTCTTCATTCAATGAAAAAAGAGTCATCCTCTAAAATGCACTTCTGTCGAAATTCATTCAATTTGTTCCACTCACTTTTGAACTGCGAACGAAAATGTGTTTTATTAATGATAACTTTGAACTCGTCTCACGGGCAAACGGTACATTTTTTTATGTAAACAAGTTGGGTCCAATCAACTCATTTTGACCTGTATTAACTGTAGTAGCTTTGTGTCCCAGCTATTCTGGGACACCCTGTATATCTCAACAAAAATATTCCACAGCACAATGGAATGAAAATTGATTGAAACCATTTTGTTTCATTCCCAAATGTTTCAGGATTCTGAAGATTCGTGTCAGATAAAGAAGTATCCTCAATTTGAATTGACACATCCCGGTTGAAAATTCAATGACCTGGTGTAAATAAACACCGTTTTCATTGCAGATTTGATCATTTGATGATGATTTTTTTAACTCATTCCGGTGTGACTTCAAATATACTCATGTTTTTCATGATCAATAGTATTGTAAGTCACACCAGATCAGTGCGAACGTTATCATATTATTAGAAATAACAAACCAGAATGGTATAACTTCACATCGATTTCGAAATCACGAATCTCACCTGGAAATTTGCATAGATAGCACCAAACACCGGTGCTCTACAAATTAGTGTAAATTAACACCGAAATATGCAGGACCTCTGAGGAAATCATTTGGTGTTAGCTGGTGTCAACTGGTGTTCCAGTTTTTCTTCGAGTGTGAGTCTCAAACCATAATGCAACTCCATTTTCGCACTCACAGGAGAATATAGGTGCAACCAACCCATAAATATTCCCGAAGAAAGTAACGTATTATATCAAGATACATTGTTTCACTTGAATATTTAATATCTCCATTACTTAAAATAAACTGTACTTCACTCTCAATAATTTATATTCATCCACACACAAGCAATTATAAGGTTGAGGTACATCATAGGTATTTTTATGTGTCTGCAGTTTGCTGCAACGATAAGTCTCAATTTTATATCCTTGGGAGTATTAGTAAATATCATCCTCGGGTGTATTCAATGCTACTGGGTCTTGATGGTTTGCCAAATGGAATGGGAATATAAAACTTTTGTGTTTGGAATCTGAATGTGGCCTTCCTAGATATGATGCTTTGGAATTGAAATTGATATATTTCGATGTGGAGGACTTCCGACCAATCGGAACGAATTGGGGGTATCGATTTGTTTTACGAACTAAGTATATACATTATATCGGATGACATACATATTGGCATATTGCTAGACATTGTCTTATCAAGAAGGACTAATATATTCTTAGTACTCCTCTTCCGGAGCGTATCTTGTGGAACGAGGAAACAATTTGTCTTCATTGGCCAAATGCATAACGTGATATTCACCCATGCGCTCACCATAAATCTGATGGCCAAATCAAAAAGTGAGCAGAAACTACCATAGTATTCTTGTGATATTATAAGTATTCAGAAGTTCAATAGGTTCTTTCAGGTTCGAACAATTAATGTTCTAGAACTGTCAGGATTATTCTTTACGTCAAATATAGTTATTTTTGTATCTAGAGCGCGAAATGCTACTTTGGTGATCGAGATTTGATTTTATAACGAGGCGTAGCCGAGTTAAAAAAATAGTCGAGATGACCAAAGTACAAACGTCAAAAAATATAGTTCTGAAGTAAAAATATGCTTAGCTTGATATTAAAAATAGTGTTGAACTGGCTCCCCAAATCCTCCCTAGGTACGCACGATGTTCCACGAACAAAATAGGAATTTCCTCTCGTGATCTCCAAGAGATAAAACGAAGTTATTGTTGAACATTCAGAAATAAATGATTTCGTGGATGTTTGCTCGATTGAGGACCATACAGTTGAAATATAAATATCTCTTATATTTTACATAACAATGCGCGAAGTAGCTACTTCGCGCACTGTTTTACTTCGCACATTGTTTTGTGCAAGGTATCATGGTAACGTAGGAAACTGAAAAAAGTGTCACTTCGCAATTTGTTATCAATGCGCGAACCTTGTCATTTTTTGACGTTTGTAGAAAAAATATATTTTCGTTTGCTCTACTGTTTATTGCTCTTTTCAATATTTTCTCAATATTATGGAGTTAGTACATTCATCTGATAGTAGTAGTTCTTCATCTTCAGGAAGCAGTGGTGAAGCTGTTATTGCTGAAGTTGCTGAAAATATTTTACATAATCTGATAATTCTCGAACTTCTGTTAGATGAACCGAAAAATGTAGGATTATGTTGGGGCGACTTTGCCATTATATTCAGATACACAATTCCTTGAACATTTCATGTGGATGTCGAAATTCATGTAAGTAGGTACATACAGGGGACAAAACATATTGAAAATCTAGCTAAAAATCCTAATATGATGGAATATATTCACCATTCCTCCACAGAAGGTTTCCAGAGATATTGTGATACAGGTGCCAAACTATTGTTTTTTCGCAAATTCTGAATAGAGGTTATGTTTCCAGAGGTTCTCGTCTGCCGCGTTCGGGTTTTCATAATTTGTTTTGAACCGTTCTGAAACAGTCTTAGGATTCGAAACGACTGCGCACTAGTTCTACGCAGAACGATTCTTGAACAGTTCTGAAATCGGAACCCGAATTAACTTAATATATCATCAGTTGTTGTGAGGATTAAGAACAAATTCTATCTTACAGTCACAGGTCACAGAACCCACCATAGTATTCTTGTGATATTATAAGTACTCAGAATTTCAATATATCATCAGTTGTGAGGATATAGAACACATTTTGTCTGTATTTAGGCGCTTTGAGCAGCGCATATTTTGGCGCCCTCCATTATGTTAGTACGTCATATTGTGAAACAACATACATATATTCTCAATAGTCAGGCAATGAAATCAACGAAATATAGGTTAAAGGACATATATAAAGTTAGAACATGAATAAAAGACTAGAGAATTAACTTTTGAATCACATATTAGAGCTATCGTTGATGAAGCACTCGGCTCTCTGGGATTTATTCTGAGAAATACTAAAGAATTCCGAAATTATATCCATCAGATACCACTTTATATAAATCCTTAGTCAGGCCTATCCTTGAATACTGCGCTATCATTCGGAATCCCGTGTATGACAAATATGTGGATCAAATTGAACATGTTAAAAAAAAATTGGTCATCAATTTGAACTGTAGATTCTTCCGCTTCCATCACTACATGAGCTATGAAAGCAAGTAGTATGAATGTAGTATGTAGTGAGTAAACACAATGGTAGCGACACTCAAGTTTTCCCAGATGTATTGAATCAATATTCAGATT